TATATATATTATTCAAAACTGTTCAGGTTCGGACGATTTGCTGACAATGCATTTTCAAACTTCTTGTTGTTGTTGTTGTTGTCGTTGTTTGTTGATAATGTTGCTGTTGCTGTTGTGTGTATGTATGTGTGTATGTGTGTATGTATGTATGTGTGTGTGTATGTGTGTGCGTGTTTGTGTGTATAGGCCTACTCTGGGATTTGCAACCAGGTTAAGTAGCAATGTGTGCTCTTCCAGAGCTTCTTTAGATTGTGTGAACGTTTAACACCTCCACTAACTCAGGTCAGGTCGAATAGGTACCGGCCTGCCTCGACCTGCCTGCCTGCCTGCCTGCCCCAATCCTGGCTGTGTTGTGCTTCTTAAAACGGAGTGCACACAATAGCTGCCAGAACCCCAGCCCAGCACTTATTAAGAGCAATTCGCTTAGTACGTACTTGGATATTAATCGATACTAATAAATACTCAAGTTTTGTAATGTTCAGATTTTTAGAAAAGCCTTGAAGTGTTCTATTGTAATGTTTACATTTAATCAAAACATAATACATCAAAAACAGTCTAAAGTAGCAAAATATTACCCGCACATAGTGATTTTGAAAACGATTACAAGACATTGTATTTCACGCTGGCCGAAGTGGCGAATGTAAACGATCAAAGGTTTTACTCGTTTAATATTCAATGAAAAGAGTAAGAGCGCTCCCTTTTTTTCTTTTTCTTATATTCGAACGAATGATTATGCCTTTCCACTCCAATCCCCTTTTCAACCCACCCCCTATCATGCTTGTGCGTCAAATTCAGGGTCGTACAGTCCGCCACGCTTCTACACTGTTTTGTGCTTATTTTGTCATTCGTTGCATTTGGATTCAAAGCGCTTGTGTCGCCTTTTCTCGTGTGTATTACAAAATGTCCTACCTCAGGGAGGAAAAAAATGAAGTCCAAAGCAGATGTTTTCGGAGCGGAACGTAAATGGCGAGTTTGCAAAATGCACATTTTAATAATGCAGCACAGCCTACCGTACATTAATTAAGAAATTTTTGTAACGTCTTTTGATTGAATCTTAAACGGGGTGCCCACTACGGCTGGATCGGGCCGATCGCCCGACTCGATCGCCTGAAACTGAAAACAAACACGTTTGTTTTTTAGGCGATCGAGGCGATCCCATCCGTAGTGGGCACCCCGTATTAGTAGTACTGGGCACTTGTCGGTACTGGACTCTCTTCTTTTTGTCGATAAAATACTCCATATTGGCCAGTGTCGGCGTACTAGTACCCACTATTACACACTGCCAATTTGATGCATTTGATTCATTTGATTCAGTCTGAGCCAGTCAGATTTTCCTTCATAGTGCAAAAGTGACCTTCAAAATCAAACATTTTTGATTTTCAAGGTCATGAGTTATACACGTTGAATTCGTCGGTTGAGTACATTTGTATAAGCCAATCAGAAGACGTGTAGCCTGCGGGTCACAAGGTCAAGATTAGATCTTTTGTTTGCAAGCGGAATGCGATAATGGACGGCGTTGATTTGGAGAGACAGCAACCACAACACGCGATACTCCGCGCTTGAACTTATTATTGAAGGAAATGGTATATTGTTCTAAACTGTGGATTGTGTGTACGACAACATGCAGTGTTCCAACCAACCTGTCTTTTCTCGGGAGGATTTCGAGTCGTTTTAGTGGACACATCCACACGAACTATAGTATTACTATTGCTAAGGTAAAAACTGGTGCTCTGTTTCGACTACTGATTTCAAGAGAGATAGTCGACGATTATTCTCCGCCCTGCCTCTCACTGGTCCACTAACTACGTGTACCTGTTTCTCTACACGGGTGACCTACTTACTTATGAACTGTTAAGCACTTAGATCTATGTGGTACCTCTGTCTATTCAGGAAAAACGCAGTGTTAACGAATATGGCTGAAACTACCTGCGTCTGTGCCAAGGACCTTAGAATATTTATAACATCCTTGGTCTGTACCATGCTGAACCAAAAATCTTGTTAAATTCAAACCCCACGCTTAAGTTCTTTGCATTCCCTCTTAAATCCTAACTTGTTAAATGTTAATCCCACTTTTAACTTCTTTGCTTCTCCCTCTTATCTCTTAGGGGTCGACACTTCTGCGGACTAGATGCTGCATTGTTGTTTTCGGGTTTTTTTTCTTGTTTTCCTCTTTTATCATAAATATCTGTTTGCTTGTACCACAACAGTGTCGTCATATATGCCACATCCATCTCCTTTTCTTACAATTCTGGTGGGTTGAAGCTTGAGACTTTTCTTTTTGTGTTGAAAATGTTAACGTAACCAGATTTCAAAGTAAACTTTATGCGACAAAGCAGGAAGTAAGCTTACGACCTGTAAGAGTTAAACACACTAACAGTTTGAACTTTTCGATAGAGGCCCAGCCCCTGATTCTTCACTAGAATATCTAATTTGGAAATATTTTTCAGAGCAGCCACCCTTCCATTAATGTTTTTAGATGGCGTTATTCACTGGGCCAGAGAATAGAAAAATTGTAAAGCCATGCTGTTTCAAAGAGTACAGAACACAATCTTCGTGGGTCCTCTGCACATTACGATATTTCCACTCATTGAACAATTGCAAGTATGCAAATGACGTGATGTTCGCCCTTTCGCCCTTTCGCCTTTTCACCACTAAGTGATGTCATACTTTGCAACCATGCGACAAGTGGACATTGTCCCAGTGTGCGTGTGGAGCCTAAAACAAAACAAAAACAAAATCATCACAAAATGAATATTGCTTACTTACCTAGACGTGTGTGTGTCGCTAACACTCAGCTGAAGCAATATTGCTGTCGGCCTGACTTCAGCCAGATACACCTCCTCAATGTCAAAAAACAACCTTGCTCTTAATATTATATAGAATAAAAGCAAAGCATGGTAGCTTTCTGCTAAACGTAGATCTACCTCGCGTAAAGAAAAGCTGACATTCTATAAACAGCACCTACACACATGTGTATAGCGCAAGTTATTCACGCTTCAGAGAGAATTTCAACACGGAGTACTTTTTCTCCTTTGATTTTTGTCAGGTGAAGTGGTAGCATGAAAGCAAGCAGTGGTTGGGATCAGTCTATCGTATCGCAATGCGGCGTAACTAAGCTCTTTTAATTCAATGGCCAAAATACGAGACTACATTGCAGAGAGCGCCCGTTTCTCACTATAAAAAACAAATTCTCAGATAACATGATTTTATCTCGGTTCTGTTGTTACCTATTTGTTGCCCCAAACTCGCTTTGATACTCATAGCAGTTTTGCCAGTATGGTCTTAAACTCGGGAGCAAGCTGCCTACTTACTGTTGATAACGGAGCTTATGTGTATAAAGAAGTCTACAACTTCTAGCTGATTCTTTTCCGTTTTCGACAGTCAACACTGGTTATTCTGCAGATTCTCCTGTCCTGGCAATTTTGTTCTTATCCAGCTAAAAAGGGCAAATTATTCAGTTCTTCGTTTTAGTGGGCCACAAAAACAACATCATCTTCTAAAAGTGATAGTTTTATGTAAATACACGGGATCGTCACCTTTTCGTAAAATCCTTGGGTATTAAAGAGTGACGTAGTGGGTGAAAAATGTCCCTTTTTATTTTAGAAATCGTGTCGACGAAAAGCAGGAAATCTCTCCAAGATAGTACCAGAGCAAGGCAAGGACGTTGCTCACACTGCTTTACTTCATTCTAAACCATCTCAAACTTGAACAAAAGCGGAGTTTCATAGCACTGGGTAATGACCTCGTGGTTCAAAGTTGGTGGTTTGGTTGGCGAGTGCTCTGGTGTTGTTTACTCCCTCTTTCCTATCAAACATCTTTCGTCCTTATCTCGGCTCTTTCTTTTTTTATGTGTTTGCTATTAATTTGTAACATATTATATCTAATCCTTGGAACTTATATGTAATAATAGATAGCTTTAGTATAGCGCAAATTCACACTCAGCGGCAAACTCTATGCGCTTTAAAGTTTATTATTACCCCCAGCAGACTTGATTAACAACCCAATTATATTGCTAGTGCCGTAAAAACGCTTACTAAAACAATAAAATGTGAATCGAAGAAGAGTCGGTGGACACCCAATCTTTAAGCCATTCAAAGGATCCATTGCTACTGACTTGACCAAATTATACTTTGGATATTCTACAAAGTCTAAGTACATGTATAAAATTTTGATCTGCTCTCTCCATTTTTTCCTGTAGATAAAATAAAAGAATCCCAAGTCTACCGTCGAGCTATTTAATCTAAATCCTCAGTGTGACCCAGGGTACAATATATTTTCCGAGAAAGTAACGTACATACACGTGTCAGCGTGATCAATGCTAGGTTTGTTTGTTTGTTTGTTTGTTGTTGCTTTTTTTAAATTGGGAGGATGGGCGAGGAGATGTTCATTTAGTTATTTGTTGTTTGTTGGTGTTGTTGTTTGGTTGTTGTTGGGTTTGTTTGTTTTGTTTTGTTTTGTTTTCCTTAAGCTCCGGAGTGAGATTCCCTTGTAGCTGCTTTTGTCACACGATTATCCTTTTGCTTGTAGAACGTTGTGATGTTGGCATACCTTTACTTTTCTTGCTTTTCGTCCCCTTAAGCGGAGGCACAGGCTGAGATAGGGGGTTTGATCTACCGTTCCACAGAATATCTTGTTCGATAGGTGCAAAAAAATCAACCATATATTATTCTTTCACATCCTGCAGCTTTATTCTCCTTCTTCTAAAAAGTGAGGTCCCACAGCGAAACCAACTCTGTGGTCTTATCTCTTCTCTTCCATTAAAGTGTCGCTGCTTTGTCTTGGGTTTTGGGGTTTCGAGCCTCAGCTCAGTCCAACGTTGTGTCCTTCGGAAAGGCATTTTACACGATTTTTCCAGTTGGCTCGGTCCTTTTGGAGATGGACTTTAAACTCGGAGGTAATGCCTCTTAAATAACCTCTTAAATAATGCTGATAAGAGCGTTAAACCTATCCCATTTAACTATTTCACCTTTTCTTATTTAATTTATCTCACCCATTCAACTTCAATCGCCTATTATACTTTCATATTTCCCTAACAAGTCCTGGGGGGGGGGGGGGGTTATGTTTGTTTGTTTTTGTTTGTTTGTTGGTGGTGGTGGTGGTTTTGGGGGGGGGGGTTTGGGGGGGGGGGTGTAGATATAAGTGTTTAATGGCGCTCGCAAATGCATAAGGTCATATGAGCGCGCGGTACACATTAAACATTATGTTTCAGACGAAAGCAGGCGACAGAACATTGCGTTAGAGAGCAGGAAAGGAGACAATTTTAGAGAAGAAAAATTGCCGTTGCTACCAGGATTCGAACCCGGGACTTACTGAATGAGAGGCGAACATATTAACCTCTAGGCCACGAGAGTTCCCCCCTCACAAGTCTTCGCCCCCCCCCCCCCCCAGTCCCAGTCATGTAGATTTCCCTCTCAGGGAGTCGACCAGCTCAAACCCAGAGGCTTACTTTTACCGTATTCTCGCTAAATCGCTCCCTCAGAATTACAACGTTCTATCTGCCCAGTACCCTTCTTTTTTTTTTTTTTAGAAACTTTACGTAAAAAGTTTTTGAGGTTCACAATATTTCAAGATTTGTTTACTGCAATTCTTTGATTATTTTGATAACGAATCCGAATAATATTACAATTTCGCTAGAGCAGATAGAACATGTTTTTGGCTTCATGGTTTTAGAAACTCAAAACGGCCAAAAATGACAGATAGAACTTTGTAATTCTGAGGTTTCAAAATTTCTCTGAAAAACGTTCAGCATGCTAGATCTATCAACTATAACTTTTAAATTCAGAGAAAACATGCCCATCACTGTGGAACACGAATATTCCGAGTCCTAGCTTGACCTCCAGGGGATCACATCTCCTCAATAAAAATTAAATTTAAAAAATAAACCTGAAAATCATTGCAACTAAACAATTCCATCAACATCATCTACAAAACACAAAAGCGCCAGTAGATAGAAATGGGCAGGGTCAAAACAAAACTTCAGAGTAAAAGCTGAATATAATATGTTTTTTAATATGTGCCCAAAATTGCAGACACAATTAGTATTGGTTGGGCCTGAGGAGATAAGGACTCCAGTATTACCTGCTTCAGACGGAAACGAGAGCTAAAAGTAGTCTGGTGTTGTAAGGATTTAAAGCCAGGACACTATACACCAATGGTATCCATTCTCATGAAACACAGTTATAAGTCAGTTGTTGTTGTTGTTGTTGTTGTTGTTGTTGTTGTTGTTGTTGTTGTTGTTGTTGTTGTTGTTAGCGACCCAGTAGCATCTGAGCGTTAACTCTTCTGCATGATGCCATTCGGTAATAGTTGCATGTTTGTTCTAACTGTTGTCTTGAGGAGTAGAGGCAATTAGATGTGTGGGGTAGCTTGGGAAGAAAACATCCCCTTAAATCAGTTAGTTTTCTACAGAAAAACAGATGATGTTCCACTGTCTCTGAGGGGTAGTCACATAGTGGGCAGGCAGCAGACTGCTTTACTCCAATTCGGTTGAGATGTTGGTTGAGGGGTACATGTTGTGTTCTAAGTTGGAAGATTATGGATTGATCTCCCCTCCTCAACTCATTGATTGGATCTTTGACCAGTGGTTTATTCATGTGGCCATACATCCTCCTTCCTGTCGTACCTGTGGCCCAATCATTCATTCACTCTTCCTTGAGGTTTAACTTGATCATTTGGCAGCAGGTGGTGTAATTTGTAGGAATTTCAGACTGAGGGACACCAATGGTATCCATTCTCATGAAACACAGTTCTAAGTCAGTAGTACTGCATAAATACGATGTTCGAATCCTAGATTGAGTGTTCTTGAACTCTGACCGTTTTGTGGAGTTTCAATGTTCTCAACCCCTATTTTAGAACGGTTCTATCGCAGATGGACATACAAATCGGAGGTCCCGCATTTTAAATAACCTAATAGTGTTGATAGGGGAATTAAATCCACATACTATACAATCAAATCGTACCGTACTGGAACTCGCACCTGGGTGGCCCGCCTTACGTTGGGTATCCAACCATTTGAGCTCCCATGTCACCCCGAATTTGAGTCAAGGAAAAACTATTATTATACATGTAATTGCTAAATCTTTGTGGCTCTTTTATGACGGGACAGGAGGGAAAGTGCTGTTGAGGAGGAGAGAAGGGTGATTTCGAGACTGTGCCAGAAGTTATCATCTCGTGTACAGGGTGAGCTCATCAAGACGCCATATCAACTCACCCCCGCAGAGATTTCTCACAGCAGGGAGTGAGCAGCGACGGCTTATTGGACAAGACATGACAGCTACTCCTAGACAAGGCTGAAGTAAAACATGTCTTGTGGAAGCTTTATTATGTGTGGTTGCTACAGAGTCCTGTTAGAAGCCGATGTATGTCGACAGAAAAGAGAGGGGGAGAGAGGGGGCCAGAGAGAGGGAGACAGACAGACAGACAGACAGACAAACAGACAGACAGACAGACAGACAGACAGACAGACAGACAGACAGACAGACAGACAGTGAAAACCAGAGAGATGAACTATGATATCCTATGATGTTATCAAAATGGATTTTTCTCAGACTTTTGAGATTCCTTAATCTCAAAAGAGATTATTATGCCTGAGCAACGCGAGAGATTTCGAACAATGTGCAGGGACTGATGAAGACAAGCTTTGTAGTATTGCTTTCTCCAACCACTGTATTGAATTCTGGTGATTGCCATAAAGCAAGACGAACGAACCAAACTCATTTGTTCACAAATTGTTTTAATGTGAGTGACACCTCCATCGACACAATTGAGATCATTTAGGAGCTAAGCTTGCGTCAAAGCCTGTCAAAGTCAACCCGGGCTAAGAGACATACATTCCAGAAGAAAGACCGAGATACTGGATAAAAATGTTCTCCACATTCGGGAATCGAACTCGGATCTCCATGTGCGACAGCGAGTCGACAAACCGCTACACCGCAGACGCCGGTGAGCCATATTTGGTCGCTTTTAAGCACAAAGGAGCTATCCCGAAAAATGCTGTTTTGAGAAAATCGAAGGAAAAGTTTTTGGACCCTTGTTCATTTTCTTTAAAAGACAAGAATAGTTTTCTCTATAACCAAACAAATATACACACCAATGAAACCAAACTTCTCCAATAGGTAGGGCAATGCCCACTTTTGGTGTAGGTCAAGATTTCTGGAAACCCTCAAAATCTGGGTTAGCCCGCCTGTTCTTAAAAGCGACCATTTATCGGAAGCTTTGTTTTATAATTAAACAAAAAACGAGTTCCAACAAGTTCGAGTGATAGATAACGACTGACTATATACAGGTGAACGATTACTGGACACTTCACAGCTGCACGACACACTGAGCGACACACACAAACACTGTGACAGACGAGACCAAGATTGCCTCAATAGCAATACTCTGTATAGCTGCTACACATCAGTGGTTTACACGTATCTACTCTACGTTCTGAACCAGCGTTATAGTTATGTCCCATTAGCACACGTAGACTTTCTTCCAGCAGTAAACCACAAGGGGGCATCTTGTGATGTGTTTTTAAGTTGGGCATGGCAATAGACCTTTTTACCTAGTTTTTCAAGCGTGTAACCGAGGTCGGTAAGGACGTAGGTTTTGTTGGGGTTTTTTCTTTCTTTTTTTGAGGGGGTGGGGGTGGAGGGGGTTATCTATTAAGGCTGATCAGGTAACTGTGAGTCATGTCTAGAAACTAAACCTATTTTAAACTGCTTTTTTTACTGACAAGGCGGTGCTCTCCCTGGAGAGAAAAAAAAACTACGTTAACGGGGAAAATGCACTCTGGAAACTGACATTTTTCTGTCGCAGGTATGCGTTGAGAATGTACTAGTTTTTTGTTGTTTTTTTCTGCTCCTCTCTATCCCCTCCCTAACCTTTCACATACTTTCCCCGGTGTGGTAGATATAGAGCGGGTTGCCACTTTGTTCAACAACGGATTATCTTGAGCATTTATTGTATATTGGTTAGGCGCCACTCAGAGCAGAAACATAGTCAAAAGTCGTTTTGATTTGTTTTTACCCTACCGAATCTGATTTGTTACAGATGACAATGCTTGTTGTTTTTGTTTTGGTGGGGGGGGGTTTTGTTTTTAGGGGGGGTTGTTCGTTTTTTGTTTTTGTGTTTGTTTGCTGTTGTTGTTGTTTTTTGTTTTGTTGTTTTTTTCTTGGTTAAAGTCAGATGACATGGTGGATCTCTCGAGAATTTGGTATCTATAATTTGACTTTGCCCCCATGTAAACCGTTGTATCAAATCTGTTTGGGTTTGGGTTTTTTCCATCCCTTTCTTGTCTGAAGCTCCACAAGAAGAAGCAGTGAATAATCAATAGATACCCACTGGCGTCGCTCGATGGTGGTTAGGCTCCTGGACTCGGAACCGTAAGTTTGTGGGTTCGAATCATGTCTAGGGGGCCGACTTTGTTTCATCCGGGAAGGCACTTTACACGAATTGATCGCTTTTAAGGACAAGCGGGCTAACCCCGATTTCGGGGGTTTCCAGAAATCTTGACCTACACAAAATATGGGAATTGCCCTACTTATAGGAGAAATTTGGTTTCTTGGTGTGTATATTTGTTTGATTGTAGAGAAAACTCTCCTTGTCTTTTAATGAAACTGTACAAGGGGCAAAAACTTTAGTTTCGATTTTCTCAAAACAGCATTTTTAGGGATAGCCCCCTTGTCCTTAAAAGCGACCAATTTTCCTCACATAGCCCAGGTGGAAATGGGTACCTGGCTATAGACAGAAAAAGATCTTGTCAGTATGGTAGTGATTGAGCGCGTGCAATCTGCAGCTTGCACTCTTTGCTACTCGGTAGGCCGAGACTGTTTCTGGGTGTTCTAGGGTCTGCTAGAGAATAAATAAATAGTTGTACAGCGAATAGAGCATGCTGTAGGACGTAGGTATGCAGTGTATAAAGGCAATTGTTATCATTATTGTTATTATCATTATTATTGTTATTATCATTATTATCATTATCATTATTATTATTAATGTTCTTCTTATTATTATCATTTTTAATTATTATTATCATTATCATTATTATTATTAATATTATTATTATTATTGTTATTATTATTATTATTATTATTATTATTATTATTATTATTATTTATTAGTATTATAAATACTGTTATCATCATTACCATTGTCATTATCATTATCACTGCCATTATTATTACTATTTTATTTTTATTATTGTCATCATCATCATTTTCATTATCATTATTATTATCATTATTAACCACGTAACTAAAACGTAAGGATAACCAAAACAACCGACTCCACGATCCGCACAAAGGGGGGGCTCAGAAAAAAAATCCCCATTAGTCTGAAGGTATACATGACAGAGGTTGCGACAATTAACGGCAACATTAGTGTTTTATTCAATGTATTTGAAGTCAGAGAGAACCATGTCTGAATTCCGGCCTGAAAAATAATATTTTTGTCGCTGCCTTTTTCCCTGATCCGATCATACTCAGTTCCTGCAAACCTGTCTTGTCGGGTTTATGTACGAGGAGAGAGCTAAAACTCTGGTGCTTTCAGTTTCACGCTGACTCGTTTAGATTTCTGAGCGCTTTTACCTCTTTTTGATAACTTACTGGTATTTGAGCTTCTTTTTCACCCTACTTACACCTTCGCCTTGGATTACATAAGCAAGAACTCGGGCGAGTTAGGGTGGGGGTGAGTGGCGTGGAGTGGAGCGGAGCGGAGAAGGTAGGAGAAGGTATCAAGGACTTCGACCGTTCCCGCCACCTGCTCCCTCTACATTCCCAGAAAGTAACTCAGGTCGCCGGTGCGTTTATCAAACAGGTAAAGCGCGTGGTTTCTTCTGCCCCCTCACTCGCTCTTGTGCGCTTATCGGCTCACATTCATGCAGATCGCAGCCGCACAAACCAACGTTAGACCACAGTTGGTGGCTCTCCAAGCACCACGTTCTGTCTAGGTCTCGTGGGGACCATTCGTTTTCATTTTGTCTCTTCGGAGTTTGGAATAGATCTATGTGTATCAGCACTAAGAAGTGTTCATTCTAAAATGGCGTGGGATTGAGACAAAGCAGGCGGAAGATATAGGCGTGACCCCTTCTACACTGCAAACAAAACATTGCTTCTGAGACTCCTACGCAGAATTGTGTAGAGCACTTGAAATTTACACGCCTTAACATCACAATAGACCAGCAACAGTTTGGAAGTATTAATTTATTTCAAGTGCTCTTGATTAGTGTTGTTCTCTGGTTGGGGCGGTTTTTCGAAGAAAACAAGTGGTGTATCTCCTTTGTTGCATCTGTACATGCATGCAGGACCATCGCTGTGACACTATAGTTTTATGAACCAAAACGCTATCGAGACAAGTTTTACATCGAGCCAAGATCACGCAAAACAGTACTAGCGTACGTGTTACCTTCATCGCCTTGTCGAGTAGTAGAAGAGGAAAACGAGATGGTAACTATATACGCACAGGCTTTTCGTTAACGTCAAGACTGCAAACTTGTCTTTCTCGTGTTGCAGCAATTCCTGGGCATTTTAGAACGTGGTTGCATTGACAGGGTAGTAGATTTATTCTCGAGGAGCTGGTTTGCTATACTGGGAGTGCTGTCTCATGTAACCATACGAGGGTTTTTATTATTCTCAATTCAAATCGGACCAAGCATCTGTTAACGTGGGTAAAAAGTGGATCGTAGAACTAGTGTTAATATCGTACCATTGGTAGGAGAAAAGTCAGTACGTACATCTAAAAGTCGTTGTATTTTTTTTCTTATAAAGGTACAGTGAACAACGCAATATGCTGTCGTAGTCTTATGGTGAACATCCCCCTGTATTTTGCTAACCGTCAGACTGTAACGAGATGGTGGCGCATTTCTCGGTGGCTTCAGTATTGTCATAGGTAACAGTCATGGTGTTTTCCCTTGCACTGTGACACAACTTTGTCTTTCTTGATAAAACCGTACGTCTGACAGACACAATGGAAAACTTCCGAAAGGACTACAAACCTTTCCACAAGGAACTTCGACGATTTGTCTCCAAAGTCCCGTCCCGCGTGGCCAAGGGTTCCCCACCAGCGGTGAAGAATGTGAAGTTACTCCCGCGCGTGCTCAAGCCTAAGGACTCAACCTTCAAACGCCACGACCTTAACATGATGCTGCAGAAGTTCAATTTTTTAATCGATCTCACCGTGATGGTTCTGCTGAGAGTCCAGGCGTTAGTGGCCAAAAAACACACGCAATGGTGGGAGCGAAAGACGTCCAAGTTGAAAGTCCACATAACGGCTCTGCACAACGACGCCCAGGGGCTTCAGGCTTATACGCCAGTGGAAGGTGACAGCAGCCAGAACACACTAGGTTTGGTACTCGGGACTGGGGGGTGGGGGGTGGGTAGAGTTTGAATGGTAATTCCAGATTTTAAAAACCTGTCTAGCGAGCAGGGGGATTATAAATTATAT